TGCTGGGCGCCACCCTGACGGTCATGTGGCTCCTGGGCACGGCGGGCAACGCGTACACGCTGGCCATCACGCGCTCGGCGGCACTGCGCCGCAAGGGCTCCGTCTACATCTACGTGGCCAACCTGGCCCTGGCGGACCTGCTCTACCTGTCCACCATCCCCTTCGTAGTGTGCACCTACTTCGCCCACGACTGGCTCTTCGGGGACGCCGGCTGTCGGGTGCTACTCAGTCTGGACCTGCTCACCATGCACGCCAGCGTCTTCATCCTGGTGGCCATGAGCTCGGAGCGCTACCGCGCCGTGGCGCGGCCCATGAGTGCCCGCAACTCCTCCCCGCGCAGCCGCAAGATGGTGGCGGCCGCCATCTGGGCCACCGCCTTTGTGCTGACTCTGCCCATGATGGTCATGATCCAACTCAGGCACAACAAACCGTCTCCGGCCGGCGTGGTGAAGCGCATGTGCTTCCCGACGTGGACCCCGGAGGCTTTCAAGGCCTACGTGGGGATCCTGTTCCTGACCAGCGTTCTGATCCCGGGTCTGATCATGGTGTCGCTTTATGTGGGCCTCGCTCGACGCTACTGGGCCAGCCAGGCCCGTGCGGGAGGACGGGCCCGCTCGGCCCGACGGCGAGGACTCAAACAGCGTGTGGCAGTCATGATCTTTAGCATCGTGGTGGCCTACTGGGCCTGTTTCCTGCCCTTCTGGGGGTGGCAGCTGACCCAGCTCTTCTCACCGGAGTCCCTCAAGGCTCTCTCCGCGGCCACTCACAACTACGTCAACTTTTTTGTCACCTGTCTGACATACGGTAACAGCTGCGTCAATCCTTTCCTCTACACTCTGCTGACCAACAATTACAAGGACTACCTGGCCCAGAAAGGCCAGTCCACGCTGGCTAGCAGAATGGAGACGACAGGAAGCTCGCCCTCTCGGGTCTCATAGACCGGCAAGTCTTGACTGAAGGCTTCGGCTTAAGGTGAAAGTGATTTCCCTTCCCTTATTCGGCTCAGGGGGAAAACGATGGATTTTTACATGAACGTGAATATTTTAAAATCTTTATAACCCACTTATGAATCATTTTCTGGATATCAAAACATAATCCATTAATTTGCCCCTTTTAATGCAAAAAGCGACTCAAGGTAAACTCTGTACTTTATATGTTCATCATCACATTAAAGACCTTTCCGAAACCAGGGATAAACCTCTTTCAATCAATGCAAAGTGGTACCCAGTGATCATTTATTGATACTTGACCACCTCTTTGCAGGGTAGACTTTTTATGATCATTTATATTTGGTATTATTTTTAGCTTTCCCACATGGCCGCGCACACTTTCTTCTTTTTGGAAATGTAGTCACGCAATGTTACATTCCTCGGCCTCTTCCCACTCTTCAGAGTCCTGCTGCTAATTATCTCACAGGCCCATTGGATTTTTTTT